TTTGGTGGGACGGGGATTCGAACCCGCGACCCGCAGATTGCGAGTCGAGTGCCCTAACCACCTGGCCATGCCGGGCCTAGTTATTTTGATTGTGGCAATAAACAACCTTTAGTATCACAAATACTAATAGCTAAGAACGTGAGAATAAAAATAAAATGTCCTACTAATGACGAGAAAAGAATCCACTTTGAAAAAATTTCATACTGCAGCTTAACCTTAGTATTTGAATTTTGTTTATATTTGGAAGACCGACTAAGACTATTTGCTACGGTTCATAATTTTGAACTTCTGATCAGAGGGAATACAACCAGTCAGCAGCACCCTACCACCCACTATACACGCCAAGAGATTGACTGTCACACTTTTAACGCATCCACAGCTTAAAGTACGGGGAATATTTTGTGGTATAGCACGGATTCAGCTCCAAAATCAAGAATTCTACCACAAAAGTAACCCATACCCGATTAACTTTAAACCCTCTTATCTATAGTTTTATACATCTATAAATATGAATATTTTATTTTCAAATTAAACTAAAATAAATAGTTATGTTTTCTTATAAATACTTAATGGGCCGAGCGTAATCTAGTAGTTAGCGTGCCCGGACTGCGAATACGAGGGTTTATGGTCCGCATCCCGTTGCCGAGAAGAACGAGCGTTGCACTTTCGGATCGGGGATGTGGTTAAATCGTACTACTTAATTAGCGTAACCCTAAATTTGGCTGTGGCTGTTATTTATTAGCTACTTTACCACTAAATTCTGATCTATTTACTCAAAGGTTAGGGTTGACTATAAGAAGAAAGCTATTTGTATAGCTTTGCGCGAAAATTCTGAAACAAATAAAGAAACAAAAAAAATAAATACTCAAACTTTCTATATAGATATGAAGCGAACTGATTTTTGTTTACATAACACAGAATATCAAAATCACTATATGGAATTAACCCCGTTAACAAACAGAAATACGTATTTTATACTTATGACTTGTATGTTGCTTTTTTCTTACATATCTATCATTATGGGCCTTCCATTCCTACGTAATATTTTCATATAACATTTCTGATTGCCCTGTAAAACGGGTTTTTAAAAAATACGCGTTAGATGCGGCTGAAAAGTACAAAGTTGTATCGAATTTTGCGACTGAACTTTTCTCAAACGCACCCTGAACGTAGGTTTCACCAAAGTCAAAAATATCACTTTTTTGTGTTAATACAAGATTTAAATTAACTACATAACAAGTGAAAAATAAGAAAACTTTACTATTAAAGTTATTTATAAAATATACTGTTGTTCTATGAAGAAAGCAACTTTTGTTAAAGAGGCATATAATTACTACTGTTTGTAAGGTTTGATCATACATAGCCTTCATGTCCATCAGACATGCTTTAGTTTATCACTTCTATTAACTATTATATCATGTAAAATAAACAGTAACAAGTGATAAGACAGACCATAACCAACGCTTATCCTCGAAATAGAATGAATAAAACTTTAGAGTTGAGATATAACATTAAGATAGTTAAGAAATGAATAATGAAATTCAGTGGTGTCTCTACCTGCTTGTAAACTGAAGAGATATTGATTCCCATTCGAGCTTATAAAATCTTCAACTTGATTATTGAACAGATAGGCGATTTCCAACGTTTCTCTTGGTAGCTGTTTGTCGAGGCTCCCGGTGTTACGAAGCCGATCTCTATAACTAAACTAGTTGGAGGTAACTTCAGCTTAATTTATAAGTACTGCGTATTCATGTCAGCTGCAATATTATCAAGCTACTTTTATAAGAGCTTATAACGCTCGAACACGCGCAGCACGTGGCTAATGACATCACCAGAAGGGTAGCGAATCAAAATCTGGTAAGTTGCACGTCTGTAAAAACAGGTGAACTGATGTATTAGTTCTAACTTCGCGTTATACCTTGTGATTTCTTCACTTTGTCGACATTTATTGACGATATAATTACACCTACAATACGTTTTGTAGTTAATACAAACCCTGCCTGTAAGCTGTTATCCTAGGCGCTTTTGTACTGTTTTAGTTTTAAGGTGCGCAGTATTAATGAGCACCATTTGTTACATGTAATTATAAGTTTACCAAAGCATTCATCCGAATAGCTCACGTAGTTAACGACCAATGATTTATAGGCAAATATACTGAATTACAGTATACCCAAGGTGTAAAATTCTTTCTCCAATTGATTAGCAGTTTGCTTAAGAATTACATCGATTTGCCAGTATGTGAGTACTGTAAGTGTTTTAATTAGCAGTAATTGGTATAATGTATTAAGTTTACTGGAAAGAGCAAGCATAAAAAGAAACACGTGTAAACTAAAGTGACTCTCTTTTTGCTATTATAACACTATCGATCAAAAAGTTCTATTTCACTCAGATTGTTAGCCCTGTCTGATTAATTAGGGACACCGTTGCTGTTCTGTTGTAAAACAAATATGTTTTAAAAACACAGAGTGTATTCACCCCGAGACAGCCTAAACAGCTTTTCTCAAGTGTTTAAGCATGCTCCTTGTAACAAAAACCTATCTTGATGACGTCACTTCCGGAAGGAATACGTTATAGCTGTTAAAGCCTTCCTAGTTTTGTTAAGAGCATTTATTTTACTGTGTATTGCTTTTCTGTTTCTTTCGATCTTCTTTATAATATTCTTTAACTTCTTTGACAATTTTCTAAAAACTCTGTTTTACTGATGGGCTCGTGACTGTAACCTGATGATAAAATAACCTTCTATGCTGTTAAGAATTATCCTAAATATAATATATAAAAAAACAGCTCCAATACTGTCTCATTAAATAAATATATTATTTTAACTTCAGGTTATTCAACCACTGCAACCATCTTCTTTGAACACTCATGTAAGAAAACACGAAGTGTAATAGACATAGTTCCTAATGAAAGTAAATGACAGAAGTTATAAACTGATTATTGAAGCAGCAAGTAACAGAGTTGTGCAATTAAAATGTCGAAGACAGTTGCGTAGCAATATCTATTGCACTCGTCTAGATATTCAGTTCTTTAACGTAATGCAATGAGGCTTAAATCCAAAGAAGTTATTTATACTTATTCACTTAGGCAATAACAACCAATTATGATCTCATAAAATAGTACAACAGCCAATATAGGGTTGGTTTGGCTCTACGAAATATTATTTGGCTGAAAAAATAGTACCATGTTACGTGGCATAGCATCTAATTTAAATTTTGCTTTCTTATTCTTCAGGGTAAGAAGGAAATTGGATTATTCACCCTGGTATAACAATAGCAAGGATGGGCCTTTCTTTCTCTAGATCTACAAAACAAACTTCGCAACCACAAATTAAAAGCATTTTTATCAAAATATACAATATACTATTCTATACACAGAGAAAGCAAAAATGAACAAACGCTGGCAATAAAATATTCTAATGCATGTCATATAATATACTCAGGCCTACAAAATATACCAAAAAAAAAAAAGATCAGTAGCCAAAAGTATGTTATGAGCTGTTCGCATACATAGAAAATCAAGCATAAACCAGCAATAAATAAACAACCAATAATACCAACATCTACAATAAAGGGATAGATATGGCCTAATAGTTAGTTTGGCAGGTGTGGCATGGTGGATATAGTGTGCTAGACTATAGATCGGAAGCGTTAAGGCTCGAGCCGCGAAGTCGCTGTGCACTTTCAGTTGTGAGCGCGTTATAAAAATGATAGTCAATCACGTTATTTGGTACCAGTAGGTGGACAAAGCACTTGTGGCTACGGTTATTATGATTCGCTGCTATCCGCCTGTTCAGTAGTTCAACATTAAAGGATGGCTGTACCCAAATGCCTATAATAATTCATTCAGACCAAATAAAAAACATAGTTTACAACGCTCCATTTATTCAAGTAATCCAGCGTCTACTATAGATTATTGATATGCACATAACACCAAACTTTAACCCCAGTCTGCAATACAATATTCACATTAACAGCAACCGGAAGTGACTAAGTGTTTACCGTACAGGACTGCGGAGAAACAGCAGTTCAAAGATTCGAGTCGCGATGTCACTAAACAAGCTCCCAATTTTCACGTGTGAATGCATTATAAAGGTGGCAGTCAGTCCCATTATTTAGCTCAAAACCAAAGTTTTTGGGACACTTAGTTCTGTTATTTGATCCAAAGCCGGACAAACCCTTTTTTGACTCTGAGTTCTGCTGACCGACTGCCTTCCCTCTGTTCAACAGATTTAGAGTTAGGAACGGATGTATCTGAGCTGTAGGGTTTCATTTTAATATTTCTTACATAGAGCAATATTATTCAATAATGATCTACTTTTGTGCTAGTAATACGTATTTTGTTTTTGAAGGTTGTTTTGTTGTTGTTTGTTATTAAGCACAAAGCTACACAAAGGGCTATCTGTGCTCTGCCCACCACGGGTATTGAAACCCGGTTTCTGGTAGTATAAGTCTGCAGACATACTGCTGTACCACTGGGGGTCTTCAAGGTTATGTTTATCCATTATAAAGTAT